GTTCTCCAGCTCTTCGGTGCAATTAGAACTGATCAGTGAATCAAAATTTCTAAGTACCTGTGTACAAATGCAGGGCACAGGGAATGGGCGGTAGAAAAGAACACTTGATGAAAATGTGTTATCAACTTGGGGGGGAAATATCAGTACTGTATTACCCTTCCTTTCATTTCCTCCTTCATTCATGGCTACAGTGGGAGCAGTTTTAACAAATCTTCTGTTATCCTACATCACCAGCAAGGTCTCTATTGCAATTAACTTTTTCAATTCCAGCTTCAGAGTCCAAAAGAAATGGACAGTCAATTTCCAGGCCTCTATCATCTTCATCTTACCTCTTCTAAGCTTGCTTCTCTCTTGGGAAGTGTAAGGAACAGAAATTTTCTCCCCCCTTTTAGTATCCAAGGGCCAGCCTTCCCTCTGACAGGCTGAGGAATTCTAGCAGAATTTCTTTTTCCAGCTAGACATCACAGCTTGACAGTGGAGCTTTACCTGTGATAAAGCCTCTACAGCACACTGCAGTAGGAGGTCAGGAGTCACTTACAGAGGCTTTAGAGTTACACCAGAATGGGCAGGGGGAGAATTAGGCTGGGCCCTAGGGACAGGAGAGGGCAAGAAGCCAAATAACTCAGCCTTCATCAGTCACTGTACTGGTAACTCTGCAGTACATTACTTTCGCTATTTAATGAGGCTGGTATCCTTCTGCCTTTCTTCTTTGCAATTTATTGGACAGACTTCAGTAATGCAAAATCATGTTCACAAAAAACATTCAAGAAGTACATCTTTTTAGGGCTAATTATATGACATGTTTCAAAGCCTATGAGAAAGTTTTGGGAGCACATGCTGACTGGGACCGTCAATATTCCTCACGTTCCTCCATTTGTTCAAATTAAGAGCCAGCCAGAGGTAATGGAAAATTCTGTAATTCCAGCTACTTGGGAGGCTGAGACAGGAGGACTGTAAGCTGGGGTTTAGTCTGGGTAACTATGAGATCCTGTCTGTCTCAGTTACTCTTTTCTCATTGCTGGGACAAAATACCTGACACTCAAAATGAAGGAAGGAAAGTTTTATTTAGCTCACAGTCAGTGGAGGTTTCAGTCCATACTCAGCTGGCTCCAGGGCAGACTGGCTCAGGACACAGAGAGCAGCTAGTTGTTCATGGCAGTGGCAAAGAGCAAGAGCAGAAAGAGTGGAGCAGCTCAGGCAGCTTGTGAGCCTCTCTCCTCCTCCTCACATTGTAATGCAGAGTGTCTGCCCCAGGGCACTCACACCCATAATCCCCGCATTGGATCAAGAATCAATCACAAACTCCAGAAGCCACCCATGACTGCATGAGGCTTTGCGGGGACAACTAGACACAAACTATAACACTGCCTAAAAATAAAATTTAGGGGCTGGAGATATAGCTCAGCAGCATAAGCGCCTGCCTAAGCGCAAGGTCCTGAGTTCGATCCCTGGTACCACCAAAAAATAAAAGATAAAATAAAATTTAAAAAGAGCTGGGAACTAAGTGAGCCGCAGATTATTTGCCTAGATGCACAAGGCCCTGAGTTCAACCCTTAGTGCCACAAAAGCAAACGAAATGAGGATCTAGCATTTGAGTGATCAGGGATCTGACAAATCTTGTCCATACAGAACCAGGTCCCAAAGGCATTAAGTCCCATGTCTGTTAGGACAGTGGGGTGGGGAGGTGTCAGGTTCCTAGGTCAACACTTTCGGAACCGCCCTATACCTGCTCTCTCAAAGCTCTACCACAGTGCCATTATAATAGCCGTGCTGGATAGCCTCTAACCCTCCTCAGACAGAAGCAACGCCTGACCAAGCAATGACAGAGATGCAGGTCACGTCTACGAAGAAAGAGTACTGGCTGGGACTTCTTCAAACCTCAGCTGACTCCCAGTTTTGCTATGAACCAGCAGCCATAAAACCTCTTTTGTCCTTATTTTTTTCATTTATAAAATGAAATCCAAGGGTGGGGGAGATGGCTCAGTAGAATAAGTCCTTCCTTGGTAAGTGCAAGGGCCTGAGTTCAATCCCCGGTTCTGCCAGAAAAACAAAACAAAACTATAGACGCAGTCTCCGGAGCAGCGAGGCGAGCAGGTCACATCAACCATGTCCTCAGGGCGGTGACTGTGCCCTGGGGTTCGTCCCCAGGCTGTCCGAGGTACAACAAAGTTTATGCATTTTGAAGATGTATGAAAGTCGTGGACAATATTTTTCAAGAACTTACCATAGAAGATAACTGAAGAAAATTGCATGTAATAAGATAGCTGCAAATGAATGTACAAGTCCTTCAGCAATTATTAAAAATACTTCATTGCCTCAAGTATGGCATGGCAATGTAGAAGGAACAATGAAGACAGTGGTCAAAACATGAGCAGAAGCAAATGATGAAAATATTTGATGTTGAAAAATTCGCAAGTTATGTAGAAAAACAGACGACTAATTATAACTGAATAATAAATTGTTTTATTTAAAATTTAAAAAAAAATGAAATCCAAGGGGATGATCTACAAGGTTTTCCTTCATACCAAGAAGGAAGTGAATTTTTTGGACTTTGTGCTAACAAGCTAGTGCTACTTTTCATGCGGTGATACTAGCTTTCATTCCAGAACTAAGAAATTAACAATGATAATCATTTAAGTAACACTTACACTGGATGTCTTAAGGTAACTATCTCCTTCAGGTAACTATCATTTCTTGATGAAAATTCTAGTCAAAAAGGAAAAGATACCAGGCAATTTGATAAAACTTAGAATTTTTATCAACAGGCAGATGGGAAGGATGTAAGGTGCAATTAAACAGGTCATGTGCAGACTGTGTGGCACAGACCGAATAACTGCCACATGCTTTGTGCCCACCTATTTAACGGTGATCCAGGAAAACAATTCTTCCTTTTTCTTTTCTTTCTTTTTTTTTTTTAATTTATGTATTTGGTGCAGTGTCTCACTACGCAGCTCGGAGTGGGGATCCTTCTGTTTTCAGTCTCCCCAGTGGGACCTGGTTGCCTGCTTAGCACGCCCTGGGTGCAAGGCCAGCCTGGAGTGTGGGACCTGGGATTGACCCCTAGGCCCTGCACTTGCCAAAGAAGGTGCTTAGTCTGCTGAGCTATCTCACAGGCCCAATTCTTCCTCTTTAAAAAAAAAAAATCAAAACCAAAAACCACTAAGGAGAAGGACAAGACCTACCTTATCATGCCGTATCATGAGTGTTGTCTTAGAGCCCAGAGCGGAGAGGATCCCGGCTATCTCCACAGCGATGTACCCGGCACCCACGATGACACTGCGCCTAAAATGAAAGCAGGAGTTAACATTTTAAAATTAACTTACTTGGGGGGCAACCCACTTTCACTGATTGCATTAATTCATTGTTCTCCTGTGTAACATAGCTCTCCTTGATCATTATTCAATTCTATCAAACCTTGTAATATAATTAAACTGAACTTCCTGAATAATTTTGGTTTAAGAAAGAATCTCAAACTAACTTACTTACTTACTTACTTTCTTTCTTTCTTTCTTTCTTTCTTTCTTTCTAGAACAAGGGATCGAACTCAGGACCTTGCGCTTGCCAGGGAAGCACTTATTCTACTGAGCCATCTCCCGGGCCACAAACCTCAAACTTTAGTTAAGTGCTTAGATGAAGGTCCGAGTCAGTAGTGAAAGGGCAGTGAGCCCAGACTGAGGACAGTGCTTGCTGCCATACTGCGGCCTAGAGACCAGGGGCCCTGTGGTAGGCACTCATCCTGCATGTGGGCATGTGGTTGCATGATCTCAAGTACCAGATGCCCCTCTTCCATGGTCACAGAAAGAGGTGTTGGGAAGCCAGGTGTGGCAGCACACCTGTAATCCTATAATCCCAGCACTCAAGCTTAAACCCAGCCACCAACTCAGTCACTTGGCAAGATCCTATCTTACCTCAAAACAAAAAATACAAAGGCCTGGAGGTACAAGTAAGTGCTAAGGCCTTGAGTTCTCTCCTGAGTACTCAGTCAAGGAGGAAGCTCAGAAGAATGGGAACTCTTCTTCCAATATCTTCCTTCGGTAAAGGACCCATGTCCTAAGTCCAGTCTTGGGGGCTTTGGGTCTGGATGTAGAGTGCAGCAGCACATCTGAGGCAGAAGGGTTGCTTGATCCCAAGAGCTTCTGACCTAAATGACCCTCAAGGCCTCATGCACTCATAGTGCTTTTCACAGGGGCTTTTCAGAGGTGGCAGGATCTAGAGGGTGTGATAATGGGGATTAAAGTATGTGATGCTAGGATTAAGGCTTGCCCCACCTTGGGTGAGTGCTACCTGCCCTCAGGGCAGGTGGCCTGGGTAGGATATAAGGGACAGAAAGGGAGCTACTACCTTTGCTTGCTGCTTGCTACTTCACTGCTGGCTGCCTTCTGCCTGAGCTGCTTTGCCATGGACTATTTCTCTTCTGCAACACCCCCTGGCACCCTGCCTTGGGGCGAGCTGACTATGGACTTAAACCTCTACAAAGTGTGAGGCAAATAAACCATCTTTAACTGTGGGTACTGGGTATTTTGTCTCTGCAATGAGAAAAGTAACTGAGATAGCAACACTATGAGACCCCATGTCAAAAAAAGAAAAGAACAACATCAGAAAATACCTTCATTTATGGAGACCCCTCTGTATCAGCTGTTAGAAAAATCCAAAATCAGTTACTTTAGACATGTTATTATTAGATACCATGTCAGCTAGAGAAAGATTAGTTTATTATTGGGTTCTAAACTACCCTGATCTGATTTGAGTTCTCAATTTTTTGCAATAGCCTCTGACCAAACGCCTCAAAGATTGGAGGGATCTACTGAAAGGTACTAGTGGATGAGATACATAAGGTCAGAGAAAGAGAGGAGGTAGAAGAGAATTCAGGAGATGCCTATAAATGGCTCACATGGGGAGGAGGAAAATTGTTCCCAGAAAGCACAGGGGAGATTGAACGACTGAAGCTGTGTCCACTTACCTTGGCAATTCTTCCAGCTGAAAAAACCCATCACTGGTTATGCCTAGGCTTGCTCCTAAGTAGAAAAATACAGCCTAGATCATATAAAATCATGCTTTCTCTTATAAAATGAGTACAACATTTTATGAAAGAACCAAACACTCTTTCTATCCACACACTTTCTGTTTTGACAAGTTCTGATAAAGTCTTCATGTGGAAAGCTGCTGAAGACACTGTTTTTCTTTTTGGAGACAGGGTCTCACTAAGTTGCCCAGGGTGGTCTTACATTTGTGATACCCGTCTTTACCTTCCTGAGTAGTATTGATTAAAGAAGTATGTCACTACAGCTGTCTTGTGAATCAACATGTTAATTTTCTCTCTACTAAAAAGCAGCAGTGCCACGGGTGGTGATGCATGCCTGTAATGCCAGCACTCAGGAGGCTGAGGCAGGAGGATCATTGGGCATTCAAGTCCAGCCAGGCTTTGTGCTGTTCCAGTCCCAGCCCCACCCCTGGGGTGCGCTGAGATGGCCACTGAGACTAGGTGTGGCTGGGCCACCCCATTGAGGCTATTGAGACTAGGTATGGCTGGGCATGGTGGCCCATGCCTATAATCTCAGCACTTGGGAGGCTGAAAACAGAGGAGGATCACCATGTGTCCAATCTGTGTAGTGAGACCTTATAGACCCTGTACTAAATACATTAAAAAAATAAATGAAAAATAAGAGCCAGCCAGGCTACAAAGTGAGTGCAAGGCCAGCTGAACTGCACAGTGAGACAATGTCTCAATAACAAAAACAAGACAACAGCAGTGATGACCACAGCTCCCATGAACAGACTCTGCAGATTCTGCACGGTCCCCCCACTGCAACAGAGGCAGGAAGCCTTTAGCCATGGCTCTTATTGCTGCCTTTTTCTTCAAAAGTTGCAGGCAAAGTTCACTGGGAAGACATCTAAATACACACTTCCAGTTTGATTTCCTCCTCAAACCCCAGTACTGTTCTTCTAGATTTCCTGCTATACAGTTCTTACTACCATCAAACTCAGGACTGAGTATCTTTTATCAGAAATGCTTGGTACCAGAAGTGTTTCAAATTTCAGACTTCTTCAGACTTTAGGATATTTGTGGGACTGGGGAGATAGTTCAGTAGAATAAGTGCTTGCCTGGCAAGCGTAAGGGCCTGAGTTCAATCCCCGGTTCCACCAAAAAAAGGATATTTGCATTTATATAATCAGATGTCTTAAGGTGAAGCCCAAGTGTAACCATGAAATTGTTTTGTTTTCTACATACCTTACACACAGCTGAAGGTAATTATTCAAAGTGTTAAAATACTTTTGTATATGAACAAAGGTTCATGGTATGGGATTTTAGAGTATTTCACATTTTGTAGCTCTGGATTGGGGATGTATACTTAGAATTAAACATTACCTCTCAAATCAAATCCCTGTCAAGGTGACCATTTTAATGAAAGGAATCAGCTTCCTCCAATGAACCAAAGCCTGAAGTTGTGAATCTATGATTTCCTCTTTGAACCCCCTCCCCCAGCACATCTCACTGATCAATAAATACTGTATGCCACACAACCCACACCAGTCCTGGGATTGAACCACTGGCCTCATGCACACGTAACAAGTGTGCTACATCCACAACCTCAAATACTGCATTTTTCTAGATCTAAGCACCACGATTACAAGACCTATCCTGATTTCAGAGGTGAAGAATACCCTTAATTTGTGTTTCAGAATCAGTGAAATACATTTCCTGGTGTTTCTGTCCTCTTTGTCTTTTACACCTGTTTTCTTCCCTGGCCTGACAGCAGGGACTCAGCAGCCTGGGGCAGAACTGAACTGACATCCCTCCCCATGGTTATGGCGAAGGTAGCACACACTACCTTGGAACCACATCCCTCACTCCTGCACAGGCTCCGGCAGCAAGCACCTAACTGATCCTCTTCCCCTATGCTCTCTCCCTTTCACATCAGTTGTCAGGTTGTTTTCTAAAATTATCACTTGGACCTCATCACCAGCTACAAGCCAGGAAGTATCTGTCACTTGCTGTAGGCTTAGAGATTCCTCTTTGGCTGGATGAGCAGCCAGTCTGGCCCCAGTCTTCCAGCATCAGCACTTCTGAATGTGCTTCAAGGACACCTCTGTAACCCTCTGGTTCTGGTCCTTTTCCCCCTCAGCCTGTCCCGCTCAGCATGTGAGCCTCTTCCCTGCATCTCCCTGGCCATGCCAGCCTGGAGGACTCTGTCCTGTGTCTCTGCACTTCAATCCTCATAGTCTGTCAATCATACTTGAAATATCTGTAGTCTTCCCACTTGTTTTTATTATTAAGTTAATGAAGGTATAGGTTTAAAACTTGAAGAAGTATGTGTGGAGAAATAGCTTGAAAGTAGAAAACATGGTTGCCTCCATGACCCCCAGCACCCTCAAAACACCAAAAGTAAAACATAAAAAAAATTTAAAAATTCAAAATGTACAACACAACCTACAGTGAAACTGGTATTGGTGACAAGCAGGTCTCTTTTCCAACCTACAGCTCTAGTCCTTTCACTGAAAGGAGTTGTCATTACAGGCCTTGGAGTTTTATTTTGCTGAGCTGGGGATGGAACCAGGGCCTGGCACATGGCAGGCAGATACTCTACCACTGAGCTTCATTCCTGGTCCTTTTCAGGGTTCTGAGCATCCTCCCATTTCTACACCACACAGAAGGTCTCCTTGTCTTTTAAAAAAGACAGAGATTGCCCAGAGTCGTAGTGTACGCCTATAATCCCAGCACTCAAAAGAGTATGAGGCAGGAGGATTGCCATGAGTTGGAGACCAGCCTGGGCTACAAAGTGAGACCCTGTCTCAAAAAACCAAATATATAAAAATAAAGACATAAGTTGTAGCATACTTCCCACACTATTCTATCCCTTTCTTCTTTTATTTAGCAATAAACCTTTGGGAGATTGTACCTATCAAGGATGATTTCTGTCCTGAGGGGCCGGGGAGATGGCTCAGTGGAATAAGCACTTCCCTAGCAAGCGGTAGGGCCAGAGTTCAATCCTCAGTTCCACCAAAAAAAAAAAAAAAAAAAAAAAAAGGATGATTATGTCCAATATTCCAAAATTTACGTTATTTAAGTATCTTTGTATCTCTTACACTGATTGTTCTTTACCTTGAGGCTCATGAACACTTTTCAAAGCTGGTGAAAATTTACAGATCCTCTTTTTTTTAAAAAAATACCTCAGATAAACAACTTATTTTTTATTTTATTTATTTATTTATTTATTAACATTTATTTAGTGTGTGTGTGTGTGGCCAGCTCAGCCCACCAGGGGGGTGGGGCTGGCTGGCATGTGATGCTGGGGGATTGAACCGCGGTCCCTGTGCTCTGCCAAGCTTGTTCCAAGTAGGTGCTTTAGACCACTGAGCCATCTCTCCAGCCCTACAGATCCTCTTTGCAGACAGGAAAAAAATGCACAAATTTTCACAATACCCATATATACTGAGGGGGTACTCAGGCACTTTATGATGCCAACTCACAGAGAACATGAAAGATTATAAACTGCGGTCACATTTACAAAGGTCTTAGAACCCTGCTGAGGAGAAAGACATGGACAGTGTTGCTTTTGAGGGCATCTAGCAGAACGTCTGTGGCTCACCACTAGGGGCTTCAGGGCGTTTAAAATACAGAAGGTAGATACAACCATATGGGAGATTTCTTACTGAATTAATCTTCTGTAATTTCCTACATGAGACAAAATATGACTTTAAAAAGGCTTAGCTAGGTAAGCCATGTCCTTGCAACATTCTCTTCAACAGTTAATATGTCACGTGGGTTATTAATACCAGCACATCTGACCAACAGGCTGAGAGCAACTGAATCCAGGCTGGGAAGGAAAGGAGACTGTTGCTGATTTTCTTCTCCTTTTGTTACCTGCAATACATCTGGGCCCAGAGGTGGGATGAAATCCTCTGTCCTGTCATTAGTACTATTTAGTCAATTAAATGTAGATTCTGCAGAGACCTTTCCTCCTGGCCTTCCTCAGGAGAACACGGCACAGCACATAAGGCTTAACATCGCAGTGAAGCACCTCAGAACACTCACCAGGGATCTGGCTTTCATGAGGTTGTGAGGGCACGCCACCTGTGGCAATCAGAATGTGAGGAGCGGTGTATTTTTTCCCATTGACCTCTACCGTGGGCTGGGGATCACTTGTGAATGTCGCATAGCCATGGATGATATCTATATTGGACTGGAAGGAAACACCACATTAGCCTATTTAGATTAAAAAAAAAAAACCACCTACTATAACATATGAGTGATTTCATTTCTCCACTGAAGAGTTTGATTTTC